TATTTTCTTTTTAATTTGAACCGGGCTGTTTTGATATTTTAACCATTTAAATGCAATAAAAAAGAAATTTATGTTATAAATAACTTTTAATTATTGATTTAACCTAAAGTTTTCATTTTCGCAAAGGCTATAAATAAAATAAAAAATTAATTATAATAATTTTTTATTTTATTTATAATTAACAAAAAAATATTTTATAATTTTTTTTAAGTAGGCATGTATTTTTTATGATAAATTTAAATATTTGAAACTATTTTCAATTATTTCATTTCCCATGCCTTTTTAAAAATCTTAAAAAACAATTATTTTTTGAAAGATTTTTTTTAAGTTACTTTAAATCATGAATAAGTTTAAAACTTTTTGTGACCTGTTGCTTAAAACAAGTGTAGAAGCAACTTATATAAGTTATACAAGAAAGTAAAATAACTTTAAATACTTATATATTTTGTTGATTAATGTAAAAGTTTTGTAATTTATCTTATGACTTTTTTAAATATTTTAAACAAATATTTTATTTCTTAAAAGATTTCATTTTTATTACTTTGAATTACGATAGGCATGAATAAGTTCAAATTTAATATATTAATTTTCAAATTTGTAATGTGAAAAACTTATTAAGTTACAAACTGCTTCTAATGCTCAAACTAAAATTAAATTAAATTGCTTGTTGGCAGTATATTTTATTTAAATCGCAGGCGCATTTTATTTAAATTATCAAAGATTATTATGCAATTTTTTTATCAATATAACATAATAATATTAAGAAGACTTTAATCTACAAATGCGTCTTCAATAGGAAGTATTAAGTTAAAACATTCTAACATCTATACAAATAGTTACATCTCATTAATAGTATTATTATTATTAAAGTATTATATATAACATTAACTATTTCTATTAATAATTTGAAAGTTTAAATGAATTTTGCAAGCAAATAAATTGTTTTTAAATAATTTTTTGTGTACATTTTTGTTACTGATATCATTATTTTTTTTTTTTTTTGAATTGTGGCAATACTGTCAGTCCAATTTATTTTTCAAAAAGTTAGGGTATTACTCAACTAGCTATCAATTGTTGAAAAGTGTGGTTGGAGTAAGTTTAAATCTGATTTCAATTACTTGTTTTTGGAACAAGTTTTTTTAGGTCTGGACTATTAAAATCTAAGTATTGGTCAATAATTAAATTATTTATGGTTAGTAATTTATTATTTTTGCTAACTTTAGTCCACAAATCCTGACTTGTATCTGGACAAGTCTTTAGACTTAACCCTAAAATAATGTAAGGAAGAAAAAACCTTACTTTTTTATTCTACACATTCTCAGAGAGAGATAGCAGCAATTGCAAGTGTTTTAAAGTCAGCAGTGAACCGAATTAAAATAAAAATTTATATAAATGTGCCTCTAGAACCAGACGGTATCAGTAATAGCGGCAGAAAAAAGGTCACTACTCCATGTTGTGACCATAAATTAGGGACTATTGTCTTTAAAACAGGAAGGAAAAAAAAAAGGTTTGACTAGCTACAATAATAAGCAATAAAGGAATTATTGTCTCCAAAAGGGTGGTTCAGAGAATGTTGGCTGAAGATAATTTAATGGGTTGTCGTCCTACCAAAAAACCACGTTTTAATGAAGCTATGAAAAAAAGAGACTGAAATAGGCTAGAAAACACCAAATTATGACTATTGAAGACTAGAGTAGAGTAAATATAACTTATAATATTGTAAAAAAAAACAGAAAAACTATAGCTTTATAATTTAAAATGTCTTTGTAATGTTCAGTTCAATTGAGTAAACATTCCAAATTTTGATGAACAAAAACTCATTTGTTTGACGCCACCAAAAAAAAACCAGGACTGAGAAAAATTCCACCTTTTGGAAAAGATTAAACATTTTGTAAATGTTATGATGTGGTCTGTGACCTCAGCCATGGGTATGGACTGCCTCTACATTGTGGAAGAAACCATGAGGCAGAACCAGAACAAGTGAGTACTGGAAAACAGGCTCTTGCCCAAGGTCCAAGAATGGTTCCCTTGTAATGAAGATTATATGTTCATGCATGACTCCGCAGCATGCCATAAGACTAGTGTTACAGCATTACTAACTAAAAAATTTGAGCAAGTTTTACCATGGCTGGGTAATTCAACTGATATAAACCCCATAGCAAGTCTATGGGAGTTTACAAAACGGAAAATTGCCAATAAAATCATCCCTCCAAGCAGCAGTTGATAGAAACTCTTATAAGAGAGTGGTATAACAACCCCGATATCCAACACAATGCAAAAAACTGCATAGAAAGCATGACCTAATGTCTGTAAGCCATTATTGTAGTAAAAGGTTGGAATTACAAAATATTAAGATTACCTTACTTATTTTTTAACTTTTTTTTTTTGAATAAATAGCTATGAGTAAGTAATTATGTTATTTTATATTCTAAATAGAGCCCTCTAACAATAAAAACAATAAAAAAATAACTACAAGATACGTATTTATTCATTAAAATAGTTTAAACTTTAAAATTACTAAAAAAGTTGAATGTACCTAATAATTTGGCCACCCACTGTATATGTATATATATATATATATATATATATATATATATATATATATATATATATATATATATATATATATATATATATATGTATATATGTATATATATATATATATATATATATATATATATATATATATATATATATATATATATATATATAATATATATATATATATATATATATATTTAACACCTTCGCTTCCAACAAGGCTGCAAGCAACCACTAATTAGTGTTGGAAGTTACTGGAAGAGAAAAGATGAAGATTGTAGAGCAAAACAACGATTGACAGACGACTTAAATTGCAAATTATATGAATCAGGAAAACAAGATAAAAGAAGCGAATTCCAAACAACTGATGTTCGAGGAAAAAAAACTAGACGAATAAGAGTTTTTGGAGCACTTAGGAACAGTAACAGAAAAAAGATGAGACTTAATTGAATGACGAGTAACACGAGAATGAATTTTAGTAGATGGCACAAAAGATGCTAGCTCTTTAGAGCAGTGCCCATTATAGTATTTGTAGAAAAGAGAAAGAGAAACAGCATTATGACAATGTGACAGAGGTTGAAGGTTGGCTGCAAGAGCAGGTCCAACTATGTTTACAATGCGTTTTTTCACCTAGTCTAAAAGAGAAAGGGCATCATTAGAAGATCCGCCCCAGATATGGCAACAGTATTCCATACAAGATCAGATTTGAGGTTTATAGAGATAAAGAATAGAATCCAAAGTAAGAAAGTGTCAAGCTTGATAAAAAGATGCAACTTTAGCAGATGCTAATTTTGCAACGGATTTGATATAAGGTTTCCAAAAAAGATCAGAAGTAAGAGTTAATCCTAGAAGATGAAGGGTAGGAAACTCATCAAGTACATTACCGTTCATAAATATAGGAAGGTCTAAATTATTGCGATAACGATTGGCTAAAAAAAATTGAGTTTTATCTGAATTAAAGTTCACCAGCCACTGTGAGCCCCATGCTGTAGCAGAAGTGAGATCCTTTTCAAGCTCAGTTGCCCCCTGCAAGCAATCAGAGGGAGTTGGCTTCTTATCCTGACAAGAATAAATGGTAGTATCATCAGCGAACAATGCCACCTTTGATGTGAGAATATCTGGAAGATCGTTAATGTAAATTGAAAAGAGTATAGGGCCAAGGATTAAACCTTGAGGAAGACTTTAATGTTCAAAACATGAACATTAAAGTCACCAACAACAACAATATTGGCTGATGGATAAAGAATGAGGGCTTGGTCAATATAATCAGAAATAACATCAAGAAGAGTGCAGTCTTAAGATGAGGAAGAGCGATATAGAACAAAGAGAAAGGTGGTAGAGTGAAGTGGTGCTAAATAAAAGCACATAAAACAGTAGTCTGTGGATTCAAATCTAGTTTCCCGACAAATGGGTGAATTCTTACGAATGTAAATGCCCAGGCCAAGCATGTGACTATTGGAGTCTTTACGAATTAAAGGAAGATAACCATCAACACTAAGATCACAAGATGAGACAGCTGAACTCAAATTAGTCTCACAAAGAGCAAGCAGGTCTGGTGAACTTTGCAAGAGATAAGACTCAACAGAAGAAAAGTTATTTCAAAGACCACGAATATTGATGAATGATAGGTTTAGCGAACTTGGTGATGACTGTGGTTTTTTGTGTTTTATAGTTTTTGTTACTTGACTCAAAACATAGATAGTACTCAGTACACTGTTTTATAGCCCAAGCAATTGCTTCATTTCCACTAATAAACCCTAAGCCGTAACAAAGGGCTCCAATGTGGCCTTGACAATGTACACCAAAAGTACAAACAGAAACACCATCCATGCGTAACATGGCACTGTTAGTACTCTGATATTTTTCAGCTGTTGATGGAATCAGCCTCTCTGAGAGCTACCACAGAGTTCGGGAAACCTGACTACCAGCCGGCCTCAGAACCATAAAACTGAGTTTTAGAGCTGTACCCTCATTTGGAGATAATAGAATGAGTTGCCTAGTCATAAAAACAGAGACACAAGCAAAACCCATGCATCGAGTCAAGAAGATCCAGCGTTCAACATCCTAAACTGGAAACAATGTATTAAAAATACATCTGTGCCAGCCTAATAGATGGAGAAGGGGTGCGAGGCTGGTCAACAGATTGAATCTGTTTACCCCATAAATCTTTGCCTAGGAGGCTTTCTACAAGACAGCAGCCGTATGCATGTAACATCTACCCAAGATGAGTATTTTTATCGAGACACCATCTCTAGCCTTTACTCAACCAAGAGCCCTAAGGCAAGGGGTGTTTTATGTCGGAGTTTGCATCTCCTAGCCTTTGTATATATATATATATATATATATATATATATATATATATATATATATATATATATATATATATATATATATATATATATATATATATATATATATATATAATACATACATACATATATCAATAAATATATAATTACCAAGAATATGGTTTTTTTTCTCTAAATGTTCAATAATATGTCTACAACCAGAGTAGCAACCAAAGTAAACGCAATGCAAACAAGCATGTAAAAAATTAGAATAGGTATGACACTGGTGACACTTCATGTTGATTGCCTGTAAAGAAAAAAAATAAACTTATAATTTTAAAACATTGTTATTGTATAAAAATTCAACAATATAATCTTATAATTGTCAATAGTAGTTATAACTTTATTAAAAATATTACTATTTCTAAGGTAAATAAGGAACTAAGTATTGTAAAATAAATAAGTAAATGTCAAATATCAAAATTTTGTAAACTTAAACTTGTATTGATCATTTAGCTGATCATTTTTTTAAATCAAATTATTAGAATAGAAAGAGTCTTACATGTTAATAACAGTTAATAACGCTGGATCTAATAAGAAATAGAGATTATTACAGTCTAATAAGAAATTATTACAGAAAACCACAGAGATTAAGAGATAAGAATATTAAAAAAAAGTTTTTCTGCTTGTTTTTAACTTTTTTTTTCACAATTAAATAAATAATTAAACCTAATTAGACTATATTAGTTATTAACTATGCATGATCAGCAAAACATTAAACCTTTGATAATAGATAATAAAGTACTACTTATGCACTTGGAGAAAGACAGTATGTAACTAGTCAGTCAATAACAGCAACTACTTTAGGTTTGTCTTAAAATTGTTTGAAAATTATTGATACCTTTAGGTGGAAAAATTAAATAAAAAGATAAAATAAAATAAAATAAAAAGTTTAGATAAATAATAATAATAACTAAAAATGGTAATAACTAAAGTCTCTATAAAACGTTTCTCATGAACATCTTCTTTGATAAAGTTCCTCATGAACATCTACTTAGATAAAGTTTCTCATGAACATCTTCTTTAATAAAGTTTCTATGAACATCTTCTTTGATAAAATTTCTCATGAACATCTTCTTATTATACTTAAAGTTTAAGAAATTAATGACAACGAAGATCAAAAACTGAATTGATTGTCTGACAGTAAATTAGTTTACTCAAGATGGGATGTTAGAAATTAGTTAAATAAAGACTCAAAGACCTTGTTAATAATAGAGAGAAGACTGATTGGATGATAGTTGGAGGGATCAGAATGTTTTCCATAGTTTTTAAAAATTGGAACCACAGATCCCACATTCCAGTAGGCAAAAAAACAAGACTAAGTGAAGCAGTTTATTAAATAGTTTAGAGAGAATTGAAAAGAGTTTTGGAGAACAATTATGTATAACAATGATAGGAATGCTGTCTGAACTACAAGCCATAGAAAGAATAATTAAGATATGACTTTAGCAATCAAAGCTGGAGTGATTTGAATGTTTAACTAAAGATTACCCTATTTAACTGGAAAACCAGGAAGAATATGGTCATAAGATTTAAGAGACAAATTAAAAAAAAATTCTAAGCAAAATATATTTAGATTTAATAAATATATATACATATATATAAAATAGATTTAATAAAATATATATACATATATACAGATTTATATATATATATATATATAAATATATATATATATATATATATATAAATATATATATAAATATATATATATACACATATACATATATACATATATACATATATATATATATATATATATATATATACATATATATATATATAAATATATATATATATATATATATATATAATATATATATATATATATATATATATATATATATACATATATACATATATACATATATACATATATATATATATATATATATATACATATATATATATAAATATATATATATATATATATATACATATATACATTTATATATATATATATATATATATATATATATATATATATATATATATATATATATATATATATATATATATATATATATATATATATATATATATAAATGTATATATGTATATATATATATATATATATATATATATATATATATATATATTATATATATATATATATGTATATGTATATATATATATATATATATATATATATATATATATATATATATATATATATATATATATATATGTATATATATATATATATATATATATATATATATATATATGTGTGTATATATAAATATATATGTCACATTAAACCTCTCTAAAAATTCATATAAGCTTTTCAAAAAACCAAACGATGAATTATTGTATATTAATATTAACTCAAATCATCTACCACAAATTCTAAAACAAATCCCGATTTCAATTAATAACAGGTTAAACCAAAACTCCTCTAATGAAAATGTATTTAATTCCTCCAAATGAATATTTGAAGATGCCCTTAAAATATGGAAAGAATTATAAAAAGTCACAATAATGCTTTGTTAAATAAAAAAGAAATCCTAAATGAGAAAATTGTAAAAAAACAATTGTCCAATGAGTGGAAGTTGTTTATCAAAAAATGTGGTGTATAAATGTGTTGTTTCCTCTAAAAATGTACCCGATAAACAATATATTGGCATAACAGAGGGTGAATGGAAAAAACATTTTGTCAATCATAAGCAATCTTTTAAAAATAAAAAGTATTCAAAAGACACCATGCTGTCAAAATATATATGGGAACTAAAAGATAAAAATATTGATGATTTTATACTGAATTGGTCCATTCTTAAAACAGTGCCTGCATAGAACAATATTTCCAAAAAATGCATACCATGTCTACAAGAAAAATTTCAAATAATTACACATGCAAACCAAGAATGTTTGTTAAACAAAAAATCGGAATTGATTTCTAAATGCAGGCACGAAAATAAGTTTCTCCTAAAAAACTATGAAAATAAGTGAGCTCAAATAATAGTTACATTAAATCCCCCCTTTTTTTCAAAATATTTTTATAAAAAAAAGCATAAGTAATCCTTTCTAAAGATTTCTTTTTATAATAGTGTCAGCAAATTCCACAAATGTGTGAAAATTTACAGTAGTTAAAACATTTGTGACTTCCTGTAATTTAATTTTTTGGTATAAATTGAAGTTTTATTAACTTGATAATTCATTTCTGATGAGTCTTTGCTGATGAAACGCAGTGCTGATGAAAAAAAACTTTTTTGTTAAGTGATTTTCCACTAATTTATAATTGCTCTGTTCTTTTAAGAACATTGAGCACTCTATTTTGTAGAATACATTTTTTAAAATTGTTTAAATATATATATATATATATATTTAAACAATTTTATGTGTTTAAATATATATATATATATATTATATATATATATATATTTAAACAATGTTTTTAAATATATATATATATATTTAAACAATTTTGTATGTTTATATATATCTATATATATTTTATTAAATCTGTATATATATATATATATCTGTATATATATATATATATATATATATATATATATATATATATATATATATATATATATATATATATATATATATATATATATATATATATATATATATATATATATATATATATATATATATATATATATATATATATATATACAGATATATATATATATATATACAGATTTAATAAAATATATATAGATATATATAAACATACATATATTATATATATATATATATATATATATATACATACATGTATAAATATATATTCATCTATTAGGCTGGCATAGATGTAAAGCTGTGTTACATTGTTTCCTGCCTAGGATGATGAATGCTGGATCTTTTTTTTTGCGCCTTCTTGATAGTGGCTATGCAACTCTTCCTATTATCTCCTAATGAGGGTACAGCTCTAAAACTCAGTTTAATGGTTCTTAGGTTGGCTGATAAGTTTCCCGGCCTCTGTGGAAGCTCTCATAGAGACTTATTCAATAACAGCTGCAAAATATCAGAGTATTAACAGTGCCATGTTGGGCATAAATGGTGTCCCTGTTAATGCTTTTTCAATTTACAGCTGCAAAATATCAGAGTATTAACAGTGCCATGTTGGGCATGGATGGTGTCCCTGTTAATACTTTTGATGTGTATTCTCAAGGCCACATAAGGAACCCAATGTTACGACTTAATTAACAGGAATGAGAAATTTGCATAGCTTATTGCTTGGGAGGCCATGCTTTATCTACGAATGAGTAAAATTTTCTTTAAACTTAAATGATTTTGATGCCAAAAGTAAATCAAAATATTAAACGTAAAAAACAATCCTTATCATCTAACTGTTTTAATATAACTTTTACTAATATTAGTGGTCTGCAAAGCAAATTTCCATCAGTTGAACCTTACCGCTAGCAAAATTTACCAGACTTGCTTGCTCTTAGTGTGACTAATATGAATTCTGCTGTTCCTTTTTCTGATCTCAATGTTGATGCGCATTAATTCACCTATTTGTTGTAAAATCAGGTTCAAATCCTTTGACTATTCCTTTATGTGCTTCCGCTTAGCACCTCACTCTACCACCTTTATCTTTGTTCTTTATCATTCTCCTTCCTTTCAAGACTGCACTCTTTTAAATATAATTTCTGATCAAGTTGACCATGCTATCTCTCTTTACCTCTCTGCCAATATTGTTGTTATTGGTGACTTTAATGGTCATCACAATGAATAGCTTGACTCTAACACCACTGATCCTGCTAGGACTAAAGCCTTTAACTTCTGCATTTCTCAACCTCTTACTCAGATAGTTAACTTTAAGGGATTGAGTTAAGATGGATGTGGATGGTGGTTGGTTGATATTTAACTTTGTGACTGGTTTTCCTGACAACCCTAATCATTAAGCTTCACTCCTTCATTTATGCCTGGTTTCTGATCCTAGCTTGTGTTCAGTTTCTCCTTTTTCTCCCTTAAGTGGTTCTGACCATGTAATGATCAAATCTGAGAATAAACAGCTATTTTTTATTACAATAAATCAATGTAAAAAGGTGCTGTCAGATGCTAGGCTCCATTATTCTCAATTCACAAAATCTCGTATTTTATCTCAGAAGTTAGGCTCTAGAGGCTTTTGGAAAATCTTCAACAGCGTTGTTAACAAAGGAAGGTCTAAAATTCCATCTCTCAATCATGGGACAGATCTTATTACATCTCCCAAGGATAAGGCTGAACTATTTGTAAAAAACTTCTCTTCTAATTTGACTTTTGAATTTTATGGCCAGTTTCTTCCTT